AAGGTGTACCTAATAAAGTGGCCGGTGTGTATATATATATATATATATACGCACACACACACTCTCACCGGCCACTTTATTAGGTACACCTTTCTAGTACTGATCTGGACCCCATTTTACCTTCAGAACTGCCTTAATCCTTCGTGACATAGATTCAACAGGGTACTGGAAACATTCCTCAGAGAGTCTGGTCCATATTGACATGATRGCATCACACAGACGCTGCAGATTTGTAGCTGCACATCCATGACGAGAATCTCTCGTTCCACCACATCCCAAAGGTGCTCTGTTGATGAGATCTGGTGACTGTGGAGGCCATTTGAGTACAGTGAACTCATTGTTGTGTTCAAGAAACCAGTCTGAGATGATTCAGGCTTTATGACATCGAGCATTATCCTGCTGGAAGTAGCCATCAGAATGTACAATGTGGTCATAAAGGGATGGAGATGGTCAGTAACAATACTCAGGTAGGCTGTGGCATTGACACAACGCTCAGTTGGTACTAATGGGCCCAAAGCAAGCCAGGAAAATATCCCCCACACCAYTGGACCACCACCAGCCTGAACTGTTGATACAAGGCAGGATGGATCCATGCTTTCATGTTGTTGATGCTAAATTCTGACCCTACCGTCTGAATGTTGCAGCAGAAATCGAGACACATCAGACCAGGCAACATTTTTCTAGTYTTCTATTGTCCAGTTTTGGTGAGCCTGTGTGAACTGTAGCCTCAGTTTCCTGTTCTTAACTGACAGGAGTGGCACCCGGTGTGGTCTTCTGCTGCTGTAGCCCATCCGCCTCAAGGTTTGACGTGTTGTGCGTTCAGAGATGCTCTTCTGCAGACCTCGGTTGTAATGATGGTTATTTGAGTTACTGCTGTTGTTCTATCAGCTCAAACCAGTTTGGTCATTCTCCTCTGACCTCTGGCATCAACAAGGCATTTGTGCCCTCAGAACTGCTTCTCACTGGATACAATATTTTTTACTGTATGTTTACCTGAATATGGTCTTTTCATTTGTCCTGATGTGTAAAAATAATAAGAAATAATAAAATTCACAATATTTTTTTAGTTTTATATTGTCACCTCCACTGGCCGTAAAGGTTCCCAAAAAGGCCATGAAAAGGCCCACGGACCACCAGTTGATAATCACAATTGTAGCTTGTTTTGCGGCTCTGGATACATTTTATCAATGAAACAAGGAGCAGAAATGGCTCCTTTGATCATAAAGGTTGCAGACCCCTGGGCTGGGAGTACACCTAAAGAGAGAGAGAGAGAGAGAGAGACTGAGAGAGAGAGAGAGAGAGAGAGAGAGAGAGATCACCAAAATCAAAAAGGATTTATTTTTTCCACCCAAATATCCACAAAGCCACAACATCTGAGTACAGTATACTGACTCAATACATACACACATTTCCTTTAATATGTGTTTTAAAACATTAAACTATGTGATTAAACAAAACAAGCACTGAGTTAGTTTTCACAGACACAGTCTCAAATCCTTCTCCCCTGAACAGAATAATTATGATCATGAGGTTTAATTACTTCTGCTGAACAAGAAAACATGTTTTTTCTTAAATAAATGAATTACAAYGTATTTTGACGATTATAGCATCTTGTTTTAATTTTGGAAGATAACATGTTGTGTAATTTATCTGAACATAGTGAAGTTTCCAGTGGAAAAGATTTATCGAAGGTTTGGAGTTTGGAGTCATAAGAAAAGTCTTTAAATCCAATAAGGTTGTTTCATCAGCATCTTTCTTCAAAACTGGATACTGCTGTTAATGCCTCTAGTGTATGAATGTGTGTACTGCAATGTCAAAGACAGACCTTAGAAATGACTGTCACCATCTCTTTGCCTCTGATTCTCTCTTAAAACACACACACACACACACACACACACACACACACACACACACACACACACACACACACACACACACACACACCAACTACAGTTTAAGGAGTTAAGTCGTTAAGTTGCGGCAGGCAAACGCTAACGAATGCACAATTAACTTGGAAGCCAGCCTCCCTCTCCAAAAGGAGGCCCCAACAAAGAGAGGAGATGCTTTGTTGGCAACAGGAAGGCAAGCTAAAACACTAGCTTCAGTGTGATTGCAGGAGAGGACGAGGAAGAGGAGGAGATGATGGGAGAGAGAGAGTGCTGTGGTGTCAAAAGGGGTGGAGATGTGGTGCAAACAAATACATAAATCACAGCGTCCCAGTGCACAGGCAGGGGGAAAAAAGAGAAGTAATAAAGCTAAAATATAAAAAGGAGAAGCTATATATATATATATATATATATAATTACACAACAGGTTTTCCAGAGTTTTGCTAACAAACTTCAATGGATAGGCCTATACAAACTATTCATTAACTCAATAAGTCAACCCAGGATTGATCCTGTATCTGCATAGTCATGAAATGGGTCCAAATATGAGCAATTCTAATCTTAAACCAAAAAAATTATAAATAAATAAAATCTCCCAAACATTGAAGTCTGTTGAAAACAAAATGGTAACATCATCACCACACTAAAGTACAAACCAGATGTTTACCTCTGTATTAATATGTTGCCTAGGCCAGATAAAGGTTTCCAGCTTCATTTTTTTAAAGATACAACTGTGTGCTTTTAATGCATTATGGAAGTGTAAACATTACATTACAAACTGTGGAAGTGCACCAAATTTAAAAAGTTTGAATTCATTTGGGCTGTAAAGTTCTACATGACGTTATTTTAGCTGAACGGATGTTATGAATCAAATAATTCGGCAAATTTATTGAAGAAAAATAATCATTAAAATTAATTTAATAATATTTCTTATTTCAATTAAAAGTCAGACAGCTCAAAGTGAATAAATATTTTGTCTATTCACAAACGTCTATTTTTTCATGCTGTAAGACAGCTTATTGTTTGGGAAGTCAGTGTTTCTTTCTTTTCTTTATTAACCGTTCAGGTGTGTGTTTACACTATGTAATAGAACTAATACTTTTATGTTTAAGCAAGTAATTCATGACATCCTTTAATGACCTAGGTTTTCATGACATGTTGTTCATCTGCAGATAGAATGAATAAAGTCGGAACAAGATTTGCTTTATCTTTGTGTTTTCCATTGACCTTGTATCAAATCTTGCTAAGATGACATAATGGTGTTTGTAAATATACAGTATATTTGAGGCCTCTCGAGACACAGTGTTCAACAGTAGTGTGGAGAGACAGTGACAGAGAGAAACAGAGGCACAGGCCAGGTTCTCTGTGTTTCCTGTTGTTGCAATAAAACTCAGATGATCATCTCACGGAGTACCTT